ACGTATTCCGTTTCCTAGGTATTATAGATCTATAATAGTTAGGTAGAAAATAAAATAAATTTATTAATTTTTTAAGTGTAGGTACCTATCTAATTTTGAGAACCAAAAAATCTTTTGTCGATAGATAGGTACCTACCTATTTTTGAAAGGATGTTTCTAAAACATTACAGGACAATCATCCTAGAGATCTTGCATTAGAAACATCGTAGCGATATACCATTTATGTCGGAAACATAAGGACATAAATGGGATGTTTCTGGCAGATCGGTGTTATTAGGATAACCAAAGTCCGATTGTTTTGATGGGACACCGGATACGACGAATTTATATCTACAAGGAAAATGAGAAAGGTCTCCTAACACATTGTTTCTTTTGATTAAAACATCTATAATTTTTTTTTGAGAAAACTGCTAGAGATGGACCTTTAAAATAAGCAATAATAGAGCTATCAATGAGTTACTAGGTAATATACCTATAGGGTTTTTTTTTATTAAAAGAATAAGACGAAAATAAAAAATTGAGTACGTCATTGAATTCTGCTTGAAAAAGTACCCCCAAGAAGTTTACATAGAAATCAATTATTTTCATAAATAAAAAAGTTAGGAAGGTTTCACCTTTATTGCTCAAAATCGAGAAACATCCTCTATAGATGGCAAAACGGTTGAGGGTCTCAAAAGGCGGTTTGCAGTGTTTGCAGCAATTAAGATTTCATGAAATTTGAGCCTCAGAGGGGGGGTTCATTTTTTTATATCTGGCTCAGAAATTGACGTGTCATATCAAATGTGTCCAAATTGGACCACCCTGTACCTCCTACATTCTTTAACGTATAAGTAAAGTGAAAATAAATTTTCAAAAAATCATTGTTGATAATTCTAAACCTGCGCCCCCCCTGAAGAAAATCCTGGACCCGCCACTGGAATGCGCACACATTGCCATATCTGCCAAAAAAATGTAGCCATGAAAGATAGTTGCCAGCAATGAACTATAACCAAAAACTGGAATGCTAACACATAAGGACGAACTTGAAGCCTAGTGCGGCTGCTGCGGATTGGATACCTACCTGTTTTTGTCGCACTCATTATGTTAAATGGCGAAAATTGCTTCCAACACGTATTCCAATTGATGAAACCTGTGAAGGGAAATATGGCAAAACTTTCGAAAACGTCATATGTCAGCGAGCAACAGAAAAAAACAACATTCCCCCTTGTGGCATCTGTCTTTCATGGCTTCATTTTTTTGGCAGATATGGCAATGTGTGCGCATTCCAGTTTTTAGCTATAGTTCATTGGATGCCACAAAGGGGAATGTTGTTTTTTTCTGTTGCTCGCTGACATATGACGTTTTGGATAGTTTTGTCATATTTACCTTCACAGGTTTCATCAAGGAATACGTATTGGAAGCAATTTCCGCCATTTAACATAATGAGTGCGACAAAAACAGGTATCCCCTCCGCAGCAGCGGCACTAGGCTTCACGTTCGTCAATATGTGTTCGCATTCCAGTTTTTGGTTATAGTTCATTGGTTCCTATACTACGGAATCATTAGCTGTATTCCTTTCAAGAGTTTGAAACACTAGAGCTACTCGCTCCGGTGTTAGTCGCCCCGATTTGAAAGGAACAGATGCGCAGGCTTTCGTGCTTTATAATACCCGCCCTTAAATGGTTAACTTCGGGCTTGAGTGCTCAGGTGCAACAAACACTTTTCGAAAGGAATAAAAGCGTAACGCCCCGGAGCTGTTCCGGAGCTCCTCATACTTGTGAAAGGAATACAACTATTGTGCACATGCGCATATTATAAAACGCGTTTTCGTTTTTTCAGAATCATAATCGAACTGTTTTGATAGTGTTTTGGTGTATCTAGAACTATATAAGAACAATTCTGGGATTGTTCTAGAACGGTTCTGTCAGTTCTTGCTCTGAATGAGGAACTGTTTTAAGCCTAGTACTCATAACTGCGAAATTCGCATTTTTTTGACATTGCGTTGACAATTTGACGTTTTATGCTTGTATCAAACTTCAAATTGTCGAAGCAATGTCAAAAAAATGCGAATTTCGCAGTTATGAGTACTAGGCTTTAGAATTTCGTGATTTGCGGCGTGTTTTGGTTTTTTTGGTTCCGAATTCGTTCAGAACTAGTATTAGAACCCCATACAGCAAACATACGTACTATGTACGTACCCGGTACCTAACTTTCGGACGAACGCCACTTCCCATGTACGTACATGTACGTACCAGTACGTACTATGTGCGTACCTGGGACGTACATTTTCCAACGCTATGTACGTCCGAGGTACGTCCCATGGATGTGGTAATGTACGTACTATGTACATCTTCCGTACTAACACTCCACGTACGTACATTTTATGACCTATATGGGACCAATATTGGCGGTAAAATGGACGGAATATACGTACATGGTACGTACCATGTACAGGGTTTTCCCGTATATTTTTGCACCCCACCTGAACAGGTTCATTGAATAGGTATCCAAAAGGTGTAAATACAAATGTGCATTCACACCTTTTTGATAGGTAGGTACCTACCGCCTTGTTCAGGTGAGATGCATAAATATAAGGGAAAACCCTGCACATACAATTTCCTGGTGGTAAAGCTCAAAATTAAAATTTTGGGCTTTCATTGTCTTAATACTATTTAAGTACATAACATTTCAATCAATGTACAATTTATGAACCTTTTCAGTTTTCATGTTTATACCCTAAACATTGTGTACATTGATTAAGAGGGTGTATTTAAATACAATTAAAGACAGAAAAAAACAAATTTAAATATTTAAAATTTGTGGTTACCTGTGGGCTGTGTTATGTGTACACATTTTAGTACTATACATTCAAATTGGTTTAAAATGTTTATTCAAGTGATTGAAAATCATGAACAAACGAAACGGAAAAGAAACACGTTAAAATATAAAAATAGAACTTAAACTATCAACTCTCAAAAAATAAAAATGGACTATGAATTCTTATACAATAAATCAAAACTTATACGAAAAAATAAATAAAAACTCTCAAAAAATAAAAATGAACTATGAATTATTATACAATAAATCAAAACTTATACGAAAAAATAAATAAAAACTCTCAAAAAATAAAAATGAACTATGAATTCTTATACAATAAATCAAAACATATACGAAAAAATAAATAAAAACTCTCAAAAAATAAAAATGAACTATGAATTCTTATACAATAAATCAAAACTTATACGAAAAAATAAATAAAAACTCTCAAAAAATAAAAATGAACTATGAATTCTTATATAATGAATCAAAACAAAGAAACCGAATTCCGCCGCGGTCGGTTTCGGCAGCACACATCAGTCCTAGGTAACCTCGACCTGAATGGTTGAACTACTCCCACCTAAAAATAAAAAAGCAAAAATACATTTCTCCTTGCTTTTCTTTGTGAAAAATTTAATAATACAATTCTGGCCAAACTCTCATAGGTAAAAAAATATATTTTATGCACTTTAGGGATTTAAAGGATACTTTAAATCCCTAGGGATTTAAAATTTACTTTAAATCCCACTTTTTTCTTGGAAAATAGGGATTTGAAGTAGTCAGATTTTGATGCAATACGTGGTGCGTTCAAGAGTTTGTGCGTATGATTTTTTTTTTATTATTTAACGTTTTACCTATCCTAAAGTGCATAAAATAGTATATTAACCTCGTGATTAAAAATTTTTCGCTGCGGGATTGAAAGGGACACTTTAGTCCCTAGGTTAATAATATACTATTTTTTCGAGCTTACATTCTTGTGTCCTTCTTGTCCGCTCAGCGGCTCTTCTGAGCCAAGCCTTTATCAATTCTTCGGTTTCCTTCCTATCTTTTGCTTTTTTTGTGTTTTCTGCTGATTCTGAAATCAAATTATTTACCTAGAACTAGGTTTCCAGGACAATAATAAGTGCGGCTAGATCCATCGTTTGTTAAGTTCTTGTTAACTAACAATATCCTTAGAATGTGCCACACAGAAACAATGTCATATTGACATTGGCACACTCTTAAGGTTTTTGTTAACTAACAAGGGCTTAACAAGCGATTGATCTAGCCACACAAGGAGTTAAATGTCATTCACTGAAGATTTTAACTACTGAAAGTTTAAAATTTGAAACAAGTCATAGCTGAGTTCGTTGAAGTCATGGTAACTTACCCACAATAAGGCTAACAACCTGGCCAAATTGTTCTTTGAAGCCTGATTTCTTCCTTCGTCCCAGCCAACTATAATTACACGCCAGTTTGCTGGACATTAAAAATGCTAAGCAACGCTTCACAAAATCATTATTGTCCGCTCCTCCTAGCCTTGAAATTTCAAAAATCTGAAATTTTTGGAAAATTAAATGTAGTAGCCCCAATTACAAATCTATAAAAGGGCTTGAAGCACAGGGCTTTCAAGCCCTCAAAGTGCTTCAAGCACTTTCGCAAGCACAAAGCACTCAAGCCCTGCCCAGCACTGGCGTGGTGCAACAAACACTTTTCGAAAGGAATAAGCGCGTGAAGCCCCGGAGCCGTTCCGGAGCTCCTCCTAGGTGTGAAAGGAATACAACTAATGTTAACTTCTGGAATTACATGTCATTCAAAAAGTTAACTTCAAGTTAACTGTCAAAGCAGTTTTATAAGGGTGGGTATTATAAAACTGCTTTGACAGTTAACTTGAAGTTAACTGTCAAATCAGTTTTATAATACCCGCCCTAAATAAACCAAAACGCCGTCAACACAGTTCGATTACGATTCTGAAAAAACGAAAACGCGTATTTATAACATGCGCATGTGCAAAATGATTCCGAACTAGTTCCGACTGTTCCGAGTGAAACCAAAACAAAGCTAATCGACAGTCTCGAAAATGCCCTCATCTAATACCACCTACCACCTCATCCTTTGACATAAGACCAATAAAGACATCATCACATCAAAAAAATAATCCTGGCGACTAAAAAATTCGCTGAGAAAATTCCGTGCATCTGGCAACACCGAGTCGGTACAGTAACGTCACACTTCACACTTTGGAAAGGAATCCGATGAACTTGGCGATTCTATTCTTTGTTTATAACCATTGGCTGTCTGTTGGCTGTTCGTAGATAAAAATGGCCACACGTATAGAGGAAACCGTAACTAATGAAAATGTACACGAGGACATTGACGAAAACAAAATAGAAGATTCAAATATAGCTCAAGAGGCAGCCAAAAAGAACAAGAAGAAGAAAAAGAAAAAAAAGCCTGGTATGTATCTAATGTAGTCTAGATATTTATTTCCTAGTTGCAAAGAGGTTATTGTGCAGCTAAACCGCTAAAATTATCATTCAAGAGGAAAAGAAAAGGGTAATTTAATAATGTTTCAGGGATTTCTAAAGGTGTGTATAAGAACACACCCGCTTTTCTAAATTGGTTTCTAACCTAATTTATTTCCTATAGTTATGATTTCCCTCCAAATCTGATCTTTTCTAAAAAACTGTTATACAAATTCCAAGCAAAAAGTCATAGTCAGACAGCTGAAGGCACCAAGATTAGCCATTTGTCTTTGCTTTACCACTACCGAAAAAATAAGAACGTAACTCCAAGCAAACTTTCAAGAACAGCCAATCCCTGAGAATGCTGAGAACTTGAACAAAAATTTAAATAGAGTTATGGCTGGTTTATACAACATTTGCATAGTCGTAATCATAATCATAGTCTTAGTCTTAGTCTTAATCATAATCACAATTTTAGAAGGCCTTTATACAATGTCATAAGCATAAAATAAAGGCCGTGGCTAAAGTAACAGAGGTGTTACTATAAATATTTTCTTAAAGTAACATCAATTACGACGTCACTGACACTAAGGCCCAGTTGTACAATCTTGGTTCAAATCAGAGTTCAGCTAAACTCGACTGGTACTTGAACTTCCCCATTTGAATCGCATTGCTGTCAAAATTGCTAGAATTTGATTAATAGCTGACAGCAATGTATTTTAGATGGGGAAGTTCAAGTACCAGTCGAGTTTAGCTGAACTCTGATTTGTTCCAAGATTGTACAACTGGGCCTAAAAGCAGAACCCTTACAGAAGCGAGGTTATAAGTTAATAGTGGGCAATGGCTAAATATAAACAACAATATTATGATGCTAAACTTTGGTATCGCGAAGGTGATTAGTCGGCGGCTCTATATTTCCATTCCTCACATGCCCTTATTTAATAGTTATTTGTAAACCAAACGGAGGGGAGTGTGTGTAGGTATAGGTATAGTTCTCTCCTGCAGGTGAAATTCGATTACTTAATTACCAAAGAGAGAAACGGAACTTCACTACTCCAAGGGAATATACCTACTTAAGTATATGATTTTTCATACAAGATAATAGTAATTGATAATCTATACCTAATACCTGCATTACACATGAGGAGATATACGATACCTATCATAAAACTATTATCTACAGCGAAAAAACTTCTGCCTGGGAAGGAAAATAATTTACTTTCCTCCCTAGGGTGGGGAAATAACTATTTTCCTTCCTGAAAAGAAGGTAAAAAATTGTCACTTTCTGACAGGGTCATAGGGAAATGTGTCTTTCCTGCCTTGCCATACTGCCTGTTCCATAGGTACCTATTCTATTCTATCCTTCAAAGTCAGGTTATTTTTTATATATTTCCATTTTTACTCTAAAACAAATACCAAGAATATCACCTTTACTTTAAATTGCTAAAGAAAGTACCTATCTACATATTGCTATATTGACGTTACTTCAAGAAAATAATTAGAGTAACACCTCTATTACTATAGCCCCTAATAAAAGTAACGTTGTCATCAGTGACGTCATTGAACTGATGTTACTTTAAATTAATAATTATAGTAACACCTCTGTTACTTTAGCCACGGCCTAAAATAAAATCAACTCTAACCCGACTTTTTGTAGGGAGAATTTGCTTACTTTTTGCGAATCGAACTCGTCTATTTACTTTTAATACTTTTTCAAAGTTTCAAAAAGTATGGAAATTAAAATTCTGCGAAAGAAAACCATACAAGTGATAGGTCTGTCTATTTATTTTTGAGTTTTGCTAATAAACAACTTCAACAAACGCAAACCATAAACAAAGAAGGTGGAAAGTGAGTCCCATCAATAAAAAAAGGCAGAAGGAAGGGCATTTTGCCACATTATTCAAAGACATGTAGAAGCTTGATGGAGAACCTTTTTTTTAAATACTCTAGAATGACTCAAGATCAATTTAAATACAAACAGAACTAAAATAGCAGATTTGTATTCTCTGTAACAGCTGATAATGGCGCCTGCGCAGTTTGGATCTCGTCTTAGTCACAATCATAAAAGTTAAAAGTTGCCAACTTTGAGTTATGCTTATGCTTATAGTTATGATTATGATTTGTGTATAAACGGTTCCATAAGAAAATATTATTTTAACTCTTATGACTAAGACTATGATTATGATTACGACTATGCAAATGTTGTATAAACCAGCCATTTAGATAACAATTTTAAAATTCGTTTTATGTGAAACTCTATACCTCAATTTTAGACTAAATTTAGAATTGAACTTAAATTAAACGAAGCTTTCAATATCAGTGATTGAGGTCGTGAGTCAAGTGAGGAATTTTATCATTTTTCCTCTTGGAAATCAACGAACAACACCATATTTTTCTTGATATTTTCTTTTCTTTACAACCTAACCTCATATTCGTGTTGTTAACAATGGGTATTTTTCAGAATTCACCGGTGCAAACAACCGGTAGCTATCAATAATTCTGAGGCGTTTTCTCGCGGGGCGAATGGTTCGAACTAGGGTTTAAACCAATTTGTAGATGACGTCATGGAAAGTTTGAACCACAGTCTTATGTTAACGGAGTACAAGCCTTGAGTCCGGTTTGAACTTTTTTGAACCAGGTTCAATGTGACGTCACTGGTTCAACGCAAGAATGTATAGGTTCGAACCTAATTGAACCGGATTGAACCAGTTCCACCGCGAGAAAACAGCTCTGGTGTCAAGTCTTTGAACATTTTCGAAACGCTGTGTTTTTGCTTTGTGTTTTTGCGGTTGAGGTGTATTTTTGAGTAATAATGTTTTTTGCAGGTCCTAATTTTTTTGCTAAAAATTTACATACGACTTAGATTCAACTTGCAACTTGAATTCTCAATAAAGTATAGCAAATATTATATTTTGAATATTATTGTATAAAATAAAAATTAGAATTCATAGCTTGAAATTCAATAGATATTTAATTCATTAGCACTTTAAAATAGCATGTATCAAAATTCCTACCTTGTCACGGAAATTGCAACTAAGAAATATGGTGGAGGCGGAAATGATCAGTGATAAACCGTGCAAGATACTGGTAAATTTAGAAACGCTTCGGTCCAGTTATACGAAATAGAGGTTCATTTGAACTCTACTGGTACTTGATCTTTCTCATTTGAAAGCATTGATGTCAGAAATCTGCCAAAGTGTATATTTTTTGACAGCAACGCATTTTGAATGGGAAAGAAGTTAAGAACAAGTACTAGTAGAGTTCAACTGAACCACTGTTTGTTACAACCAGGCCTTAGATTTTGTTGACCGGCTAATTTTGAAACGACCCGTTGCGGACCGGTCAAAACCTGTGGATCCACTGGTCAAATCTGAAAAACGTCCCATAGAGGCGCAATCCTGTCAAAAAGTAAATTCAATAAATATTTATTATATTATTTATTTTTTGAGCTACCCTGTATGCTCTTTGACTTGCAAACGTTCTAAGTGCACCTAATATGATTATCAGACATGCACCAACTTTTGGCCCTGTTTGTAATTTGTTTGAGCTATTACTAAAAAAAATCCCATGTGTTGCACACTTAAATAACCATACTGTATAGGATTCAAATGAACATCCATCATAAAAAATTGAAAACAATGTATTTAATGTGCCTAATTATAGTCATCAGATACGTTGTTTTCAATTTTTTTTGATGAATGTCCATTTAAATCCAATAATATTCATATTTAAAAGTAGCAAGAGGTTGGGTACAAAATGGCGGCGTTTTCCATAAGAATATGTAGAATTTTAAAGAACCAATCATAAAGACGACGGCAATTGTCGCCACTGTGGTAATAGAGTCACTGTAGTTGTGACAATAGAGGTCCCGCCGCCATTTTGTGCCCCACTTCTTGCTAATTTCAAATATGAATATATAGGATTTGAATGGTCATTTATCATAAAAAATTGAAAGCAACATATTTGATGACTATTATTAGGTACATCAAATACGTTGTTTTCAATTTTTTATGATAGATGTTTACCTAAATCCTATACAGGGTGTCCCAAAAAGATACCGACAAACTTTAAGGGGTAGTAAGGGACATCAAAACAAGCATTTTTGTTTATATAAACAATGTCCGCAAATGAGCCATTTGGGCTGTGGAACAAAAAAACTGTTTGGTACTTTTATTCTTCGCAATAATTTAATCACTGTTTACTTATTATATATAATATATAATAGATCTTTATTGAACGAATACAGTTCAAAAGGCCATCGACCGAGGTCCTTCAGCGTTTTACTTATTAATTTTGCTTTATTAACAAATAAATTATGGTTTACAATAATTGTTTGAAATGTTGACCATTTACTCCAATGCAAAGATTGCACCGTCGGGTCATTGACTCGCGAACCCTTTGGAATATTCCGTGAATAGCTTCTACACAACTCGCCAGTATCCTTGCTAACAGATCTTCCTCATTAGGAACAGGTGTTTCGTAGACTAAACTTTTCAGTCAATCACCCGACGGTCCAATCTTTGCATTGAAGTAAATAGTCAATATTTTGAACAATTATTGTCAACCATAATTTATTTGTTAATAGAGCAAAATTAATAAGTAAACAGTGATTTAATTATTGCGAAGAATAAAAGTACCAAACAGTTTTTTTGCTCTACAGCCCAAATGGCTCATTTGCGGACATATGTTTATATAAACAAAAATGCTTGTTTTCATGTCCCTTACTACCCCTTAATGTTTGTCGGTATCTTTTTGGGACACCCTGTATATTCATATTCAAAATTAGCAAGAGGTGGGACACAAAATGGCGGCGTTTTCAATATGAATATAAAGGATTTCAAAGAACCAATCGAAAATAAGACTGCAATTGTCGCCACTGTGGTAATAGAGTCACTGTAATTTCTGCTAGTTTGACGAGCACGCGCTGTTGTAGTGACGTCACCTGGCCCACTCCAAACAAGTTCCATGTGTTTTTGGTATAGGAGGATAATATGTTTTAGCCATTTTTGATGATGTTATCTTGGCTTTCAATGCAATAAATTTCGACAAAAACTAATAGAGCAACATTACCATATGGATTTTGGTCAATAAGCAATCATCAATCATCGGTTGCTCGTAAAAATGTTTTGGTAATTTATATTTGGACATAAATCATTAGGAAATAATTTCAACATTAGGTCAAAACAAAAATATATTATTATACGAGCCTTCTTATTTCAATTTCAAATAAGCATATTGTCATAAATACATAATCCATTGACACAGCAAACAATAACTTAAATAATAACAATAAAATAATTACTTATGGATGGTTAAAATACCTAACAATAACAATAAAATTATAGACAGAAAGTTTTCTTAATTTATGAACTTTTATTAAGTATAGGTTTTTTTATAATTTTATTACAGGATGTCCCAAGTCCTTATTCATATCTTGAAAATCGTTAAAAAGAAATATGCACCTTTCCATAATTTAGTTATCTAAATGTATCAATTTAATACGCAAATATGTAGAGTGTTTCTAAAATGTTTTTTTTTTTGCTCAAATTGCGGTTTGCAGAGATAAAACGCAGGATTTTAACATAGAAAAACGATTTGTCTTAGGGCTTGTTGTACTTTTTTTTAATGGTCCTCCCAGTCATCCGCCAAAAAGGTAGAACTACCCAAGTTTCTAGTTAGTTTGGGTTAGTTTTTCTCAGGTTTTCCATGTATTCAATTTACAGGGTGGGCCAATGGAAACTTTCCACCCCGATTTTTTGGATTTGAAATGAAAATCTAGAAAAACGCTCGGACACATCGACTTTTGATTTGACGGGGAACTATTTTTCAGTTTTTTTCATCCCCGTAACTTCAACCCCCTAACTGGGGGGAGAACAACCCCTCAAATTTGAATAGGGGATAGGGGTTGTGTCATACCTCTTTTTAAAAGTCTCTTCGAGTTCTTTATGACTCTAGAATTTCGTCTTATTATTTCCATCCGTAACGAAATGACAGCTTGTCAAAATCTTGGAAATAGACCATTATTTTAGTAGGAGTAGAAGCGATACTTGCAATTAAAGTTGTTTTATTATGTTTAATAATTAATAATAATCATTATTAATTATTAATAATAATAAAAAAACTTTAATGGTAAGTATTTTTATTAAGGCAGGTAGGTATCGATTTTATTCCTACTGAAACAATAGGCTATTTCCAAGATGTTGACAGGCTGTCATTTCGTTACGGATGGAAATATTAGGACGAAGTTCCAGAGTCATAAATAACTCGATGAGACCTTTAAAAGGAGGTATGACACGATCCCTATCCCCTATTCAAATTTGGGAGGTTGTTCTCCCCCCAGCTAGGGGGTTAAAGCTACGGGGATGAAAAAAACTGAAAAATGGTTCCCCCTCAAATCAAAAATCGACGTGTCCGAGCGTTTTTTCAAATTTTCATTTGAAAGCCAAAAAATCAGAGTGCAAAGTTTCCATTGGCCCACCCTGTATTTGTTTGTCAAATAAATATGTAATTTTCTTTGACGATCCTTTACTAAACTGTCACCCATAGGGTTTTAGCTTACCTTTTGCCAACACCAATTTCCAGGTTTTGCACTAATAACTTCTCAAGATAAGGACTCTCCATCTTAAAATACAAAAGCAACAGTTTTATGATAACAAAACGTCACAGTTGTCTGAAAGTAAATTAATGAAATCCTAATGGCGGTAATTTCATTGTTTGACCTAGGCCCCCTTAATGATTGGATTTCCCTCAATATATCGACCATGGCCAAACAGTGAAATTGGCGACATAAAAATTTCAAAAAACTGTGACGTTTTGTATCATAAACTGTTCTGTGTATCTGTAGTGTTTTAAGGTAATTTTCTATCGCTTGAGAAGGATAATTTTTGTCTTTTATGATGGAAGAACCTTATCTTAAGAAGTAATTAGTGCAAAACCCGTTGGCAAAAGGTATGCTGAAATCCTGGGTAACAGTTTAGTAAAGGTTCGTTGAAAAAATTTTAATATTAATCCAGCCATATCAATGAATTAAATGCTAAAATACAATCATTGTGTGTCTTGGGGGCAATAATAAAATTTGAGTTGTTTCTTGGTACCAAGGTGCACAAGAAAGGAATGCTAATTTGGATTGGCATATTTTTTCAAAATCACAATCTAGTTGCTTACTGAGTTGGTATAAGAGTTAAGCTGAAGAGAGTCCTCGAATAAAGTTAGCAACTGGTTCAATAACAGTATAAATCTATTTGCGTCCATTTTGAAACTGGATCGATTACAAGATTTTTAACTTCGTAGAAAGTCTGGGCTGAGATTCTGTATTGAATAGAGATATTTCCTCTAGCTCTATTGGCGTTCCCTCTCTATTGATTTCGAAAAGAGAGAAAAAGATAGCAAGTACCATAGCCATGAGGATAATAATCTCTATTGGTAACAGAGTCCCAGCCCTGTCTCCACAGCCTGGAGACAGACTTTCTCCTAAGGTAAAACTATTTATATTTTTGTTTACATTTCATCACTTTGAATTCTTGAATTTCAGTTATTTTTAGGTATTTCGTAACATCACTTTTTTCATATGACAGATTATGAGGAAGTGGACCATCCTTTTCTCTTTATATCTTGGGTACATCTGAGGCTTTAGAAGGCAACCTTGCTAACCTTAACGTTTGGAAGCTTCAACTTCACAATTGGAGAGGTTATTGTTAAACTAATGTATTCAGTGCTAGTTTGTCATTCCCTGGTTCTTTCTGTGGTAGAAAACCCTATTTCAAACTGCTGATAGTTTATTAATAATTTCTTTCTTTAGCCAACAGTGACGTTGTTCAGGTTGAAGGTGATCAGGAAGGTGAAGAACCAGCTGCCCAACAAAACGGGTCTGCAGATCCTAAATCTGAAGCCAACACTGAAGGAAATGCTGATGGTGCTGAAGGTGAAAAGAAAAAGAAAAAGCGTAACAGAAAGAGGGGTGGAAAAATAAACCAAACCTATCCGCCTACTGTGCCTATAGTTGATTTGTTTCCTGATAAAGTGTTTCCAATTGGAGAAATTCAGGACTACCCTGTTGTTAATGATGACCGTACTGCCAAAGATCGTTTTACATCAGAGGAGAAGAGAGCTTTAGATAGAATGCATAATGATATTTATAATGAAGTACGGTTGGCTGCTGAAGCTCATAGACAAGTAAGAATTAATTAATTTATTTAACAAATTTATAAAATCTAAATGAAAACATTGAAAACACATATTATGCAATAATAAAATGTTTAATCTAATAATTAATATATTATTAAGTAATCGAAAAGTATGTTGCTTCCAAATACCTATTTATGTTGATAATAAAAATTTATAAGAATCCATGAATAAAATAATTGATAATGCATTTACAAAAAACTTGCTATCGTTTCTACAGTGCTGTGAAAAGGAATATGAAAGCTCAAATTTTATTTTGAAGCTCGCATTACTTATTACCACTTACATTCAAAAATTAGAATGTTTTCAACAGCTAATAGATTAAGCTAATTTTTGAACCACATTTCACTGCAGATTTGCCCATATAATTAAATAAACCATATCTATTTATTTGAGGAATACACACAAACCTAATACCGAGCATAATGCTCAATGTTTCTTCGAAGGCTCGGATTGATTTTATCTTTACTTTACAGACTCGACAACACATACAGAAATGGATAAAACCTGGTATGACGATGATTGAAATTTGTGAAGAGTTGGAAAATACTGCTCGCAAACTAATCGGTGAAGACGGTCTTAAAGCTGGACTGGCTTTCCCCACTGGTTGTTCTAGAAATCATTGTGCCGCTCACTATACTCCTAACGCTGGCGATAAAACCGTTTTGGAATACGATGATGTCGTTAAAATCGACTTTGGAACACATATTAATGGGAGAATCATTGACTGTGCATTTACTCACACTTTCAATCCCAAATATGATAAGCTTGTAGAGGCCGTTAGGGATGCTACCAATACTGGAATTAAAGCTGCTGGTAAGATTAGATTCATCATCACTGTGGTCCTTAAGCCTTCTTTAAAATCCTCATCCATTGGTCCCTATCCACCCTTTCATAAAAATGTATCCAAAAAATAAGTATTTTCGATTAACTTTTCACCTCCTTCAAATTTTGCAGTATCAATAATTCTTTTGGGATGAATGCTCCACCATCTTTCATAATTCTTTCATAGGCATTACTTATATGTTTTATGTATGTAAGTCTAAAATCTGCATAAATTGAAAAAAAAAAACTTTTATTTTACCTAAACTTTGAACTAATATGGGCTAATATACAGAAGGTTTAAACAAATGGTTCAATTTCCAGGTATTGATGTTCAATTATGCGATATAGGAGCTCAAATCCAGGAAGTTATGGAATCGTATGAAGTGGAACTAGATGGTAAAACATATCAAGTAAAATCAATCCGGAACCTTAATGGTCATTCCATTTCACCTTACAGTAAGTAATGCATCTTAAAAAGAAATCTAAAAGTCAATTTATATCTGTATATTGGAAGCTTCATTTTGAGATATAATATGTAAAAGAAGTCTTCACACTCATTTTTCAATAAACTTTAACACAGAAAATTATTTGCTTGTCAGGAATACATGCAGGAAAAACTGTTCCTATTGTCAAGGGCGGCGAGGCTACTGTTATGGAAGAGAACGAATTTTATGCTATAGAAACTTTTGGTTCGACCGGCAGAGGTGTTGTTCATGATGATATGGAATGTTCCCACTACATGAAAAACTATGATGTTCAATATGTGCCATTACGGTAGGTTTTGAATTCTATTGCTAGCTTTGAGAAAAATCTTAACGTCAGTGCGTTGGTACATACTGTACCAATACAGCAGCTGGAGTAACTGTCCCATTTGCCTATTTAAAAAAAAAAATAGATCGACATATTTTAAACCATAAGAATCTGGCCCTGAAGACCTCACTGATTAGTGTCAAAATGTTGTTTTGATTGATTGAAATTTGTCTTTGAAACTGTGACAAGATTTATTTCGCCCAGTAACTTAATTTATGGACGAGACCTTCTATCATCATCACTTAGAAAATGCCTTTTAATTTATCTGCCTATTGTCACTTTTTGTATTATTATATTAGTCTATCCAAGAGAATGATGACTGGTTATGATTGGCCTGTAAATAGAGGATGGATTATTAGTAATTAGCGTCAATTGACATTGAAGCAATTATTTATTTGTCAACCAATAACCAGTGGTCAGAGAAGCTGCCAATAGTTGCTGGTGGCGTTGCTGCTTCTCACTGGTTCGCATTTTCATTATCATGCCTGAATTGAAATATTTTCAACTATCTAATTCAAAACTATTAAATTTCAGCCTGCAGTCGTCCAAAGCCCTCCTAAATATAATCAACAAAAACTTCGGAACTTTAGCTTTCTGCAAAAGATGGCTGGACCGTGCGGGCGCTACTAAATACCAAATGGCGCTGAAGGACCTCTGCGATAAGGGCATCGTGGATTATTATCCACCACTTTGCGACATCAAGGGTTGCTATACAGCTCAATTTGAACATACCATCATGCTTCGACCAACGTGTAAGGAAGTTGTGTCTCGTGGAGAAGACTATTAAAACTGCTGGTCCATTTCAAATTATTAGTGGGCGCCCGATTTTGCCTAAAACTTTTAGTTGGAATAAGTTTTTTTTCAATCGTTTCGATTAGGTTTATTAGGTTTGTTGGTAGTTGACCAGTATATAAAAATGTAATTAAGTTTAGGCAGAAATACCATAAAAAATTGGGCCCAAAACTTTATAAGATACTGTTCTAGAGTTTATAATAGTACAATCATTTGGTGCTTTATATATTTTTCATGTAGTCAGTGCTAGGTAGTAATTATTATTATATTGTCTCATCAAATTTTCGAAAATGTTTGTAATTTGATGAGTGAAGTTCAGTAAAGTCAGACTAAAGCAAAGTTCAGAGAATAAGCTCTTAATTAACTAATCGATTTCAAAGAGTAAACTTATATAACAACTCTTCAGACTACCTGAAGTTTGGTAGAGGAGTACCTCGGGGTTCACAAATATTTAGTAGAAAGGCCTGCTTTGTCAACAAGAATTGTACTTTCTTCAGACAATAAAGCTTTTTTTGATTGATTAATAAGCGTCTTCTCTAGACGGAATAACCATAAATATGCTATAATAGAGTGAATTCCAACCTAGATATTTAAAAAATTTGCAAATAATATCCACAAAATGGGTTTAGCAATTCACAAAGTGCTTTTTGCTAGTGTGACGAATCTACTCAAAAGTATTTTCCATATGGAAATTCACTTTACAGGAGTTCTGCGCCCAAATTAAAACAGAAATGCAAAACATGTGATAATAAATACCTCAGCCTTTACCAGATAGTTCAGATGATGCATAGCAAATTTTGATACTTTCTAGATACAGTAATGAGGGACATGGGCGTCCTTAGAGGGCTGGCAAGTGGAGCAGTTGTCCCTCCCTGGCTCCTGGCTACGACTTGTTTTTATTTTATATTTCAGTTTTTGTTCTTTTTTTTGTTAGGTCCTTTTTTTTTAATTTAAAGGGGGCATGACCCAAAAATAAAAGTTTTTGGAAAAAAAAATCTAAGAACAAATTTTCGAACCGAACTAGGCTATGACCAACCGTTGCGAAGATACCATGGTATAAAGTTCGTACTCCCAGCACTGTGACGTCATATGCACAAACTGAGTCCGCGCCTTTGCTCATGCTTGCTGCATATGCTATCACCATGATCGTATGGTTTTTGCGTTCTCACCTCCATCGCTGCATCAGTTAAATAAGTTTTGTAATTTTGGCGTGTGTTTATGACGTCAGCGATGAATAGACAAAACTCTATTTAGGCGTATCTATCTTATTATTTTGAGTAGCGATGCGAGACATCACAAGAGTTCTTAGAATTTTTTTTTCCTTATTTTCTCAAGACAAGTTGTATTTTAAGGTTACACCCCCTTTAAGACAATTTTGCTATTTTCTGTTGCTCATTTATTTTTACTTTTTGACGTTAACATTTTTATCTCTAATAACATGAATATTATGAATAAATGAAAAGGAATTAAAGAAATATTATACATGTGACAAACATTTAGATCTCTAACCGGTACACGAATTTGAAAACACGAATCTAGCTTCCCAAAAAATAATATCTTTTCACGTTAGAGATATGCAGTTTTGTATAGTCACTAGGACTGCTTTGTTAATAACTATTTGCTATAAAAATAAAGCACGATTTGATTTGATTCAATTTGGTTTCGAAATTATTTACTATTATCGACTCTTAGACTTATCATTGGAACATTATTTTGTTTAAGTTTGTTTTTTTCAAGACTTGTCATTGGAACATTATTTTGTTTAAGTTTGGTTGTTTTTAATCAACTTTTATAGTTTTGGGAGTATGTACTAATAAATATTGTTGTGAAAGTTTGCTATAAAAATGTCATTTAGTTTCTGGAACTGACCCTTTCCATTGTTGTCATTAAAACTAAAAGTCGAAAATGCGTCTACTCTTAAACGACTGACTGATGAGAAACCAATAGTTGATCACACATGCATATTTGATGGGAAATTGTTTTATAAAGTTTATACTACATTCCGTCGTCTCTAGAGTGTTTTGTGAAAAAGCACTTACATCCGATTGTTACATGAGTGTATACGGAAGTTGATGAATTGCAATTGGCCCCAGTGTTGGGACTTCGTATTTGTCCTTATCCATCCGATACTTTTCGCGGACCATAGTATGTAGCAGTTTCAGCAAAACAATATTTTCTTTTTTTAATTTATTATTGTTTGCTGACATTTCCATCCATACTGATTTTTTGTCATAGCTGTCGAGTAAATTTCTGCGCACCTTTCCACCGTGTCCATAAGATTTTTCTTAATTTTATTTTATTTATCAAAACTGCCTCGAGAATAGGCCCATAACATTAACATGAACTGGTATATTTTGTTGGATTTTTATTAAAAAGGCGGATTTTAAACTGAACTGACTTTTATTATATTTTTGACAACACCAAAAAGCAAACTATATTAAATGAATACTATTTCATGAATTTTTAACAACATTCACCAACAAAAAAAAATTGTTAGTGAAGTTTGGGGGATTTTCTGCTGCTGTCCTATTAAGTTGTATTAAAATGGCTTAAGTTTAACTTGAGATGTCCAATTCTATAATATTTGTTTTTTTTTTCTCAAGATGGATGCTTTGTTCCAAAACGAGTAGGAAAATGTAGGGTTCCTATTCGTTTTTTACAAGCTTTTATTTAGCTTCACATGTTCTGTCTAACTATCTAACTATCTATCAAATCTTGTGAAGCGTTTTTGACACACTTCCCATTATCCGATTTGGATGAAATTTGGTACACACATAGTAGTCCCATGACAATACAACATAAAAAAAAAAAATATCCTCCCACCCCTACCCCCACCCCCTTCTATAGAAAAATGTATTTTTGACACACTTCCCGTTATCCGATTTGGATAAAATTTGGTATACACATAGTGGTCCGATGATAATACAACAATAAGAAAAAAATATCCTCCCACCCCTACCCCCACCCCCTTCCATAGAAAAAATTGTTTTTGACACACTTCCCGTTATCCGATTTGGATGAAATTTGGTATACATATAGTGATCCGATGACAATACAATATTAAGAAAAAAATATCCTCACACCCCTACCCCCTTCCATAGAAAAATGTGTTTTTGACACTCTTCCCATTATCCAATTTGGATGAAATTTGGTATACACATAGTGGTCTGATGACAATACAACATTAAGAAAAAAATATCCTCCCACCCCTACCCCCACCCCCTTCCATGGAAAATGCGTTTTTGACACCCTTCCCATTATCCGATTTGGATGAAATTTGGTATACATATAGTGGTCCGATGACAATACAACAATAAGAAAAAAATGTCCTCCCACCCCTACCCAATACAGCCCAAACAAAAAATATATTTCTACCTCTACCCCCACCCTCCCCCCCGCCCCAATAGAAAAATGAGTTTCCAAACAAACTAAGAGTTCAAAAATGTAATATCATAAACTTTTTGAACAAATATTTTCATTTAATAGGGTAGATAGCTGAGACTAAAAAGTAGAAAATAAATTGGTAAAAAAAAAATTTTAAGTCACAAGCTTTTATAAAATGCACTAAAAATTAAAAAATAATTTTCCAGCATTCTGATATTATCATAATAATAAAAGCGATGGCCGCAAATCAAAGCATAAGTTAATCTAAATTTGTGATCTAAACACTTAAAGAATATTCAACATAACAGGTCATCAAAGATATGTTTGATGTAACGCAATGTTATGCCATTGCCATACCTATGTCACTTATGTCAGAGAAATTATGGGGTATCTTGGGTCGGGTTGGGTGGGTTTGGTACCTTTGTATTTTTCTGCTAGACAGATTCTTGCAAATAGTGATATTTAATTGATGAGTCGGCCATCGCTTTTATTATTATGATAATATCAGAATGCTGGAAAATTATTTTTTAATTTTTAGTGCATTTTATAAAAGCTTGTGACTTAAAATTTTTTTTTTACCAATTTATTTTTTCACTATATTCGTAGTCTAAAAATATCAAGGTTATACTAGTACATACGCTACAATGATTGCGAGTACCAAAATGGGTGCCTTAGGTAATTGCGATTGTAAAACTCTATATTCAGTATACCACTCGAAGTACCAAGCCCACATCCGCCGGAAGCGACGCAGAACACCATTATTATTTGTTTAACGTATGTTCGTGCGTGCAAAGAAACACACAACTTACTCATTTCTATTCGTCATGATTTTTGTTTTCTTAAGTGTGAACCCGTGAAGATATTATTTCCCACCAAAATGTATGCGTGGTATTTTATATTGGTATCAGTTCGGAAAAATGTGCCTAAAGCAACTACCTATAACTAGGCAGTGGAGGAGAAAACATAAGATTTTAAGATAGGTACCTACATCATACTCTACATTGGTAAAATGACTAAAATGGGAACCTAATTCCCAATTAGCGTATCGAATAACTATTGAAACGAAAGCGTTAAATCGACGCCTCGTTATTCATATAATTATTATTGTTGAATTAGATGAAAAGGTCCATAAACGCCATAAAAGAAGCTATTTTATTTTCTTTATTGCGATACATTCATTCTTGTCGATCGAGATATGCAATTAAACGCACCGATAAGTAACTTAAGTTTCACTTTATCCGCAAAATGTGTCACTAACACGCACGTCCGGTACAATTTCTTTCTTTTACCATCCGTAAAGATCAGAAAGGTACTTTGGTCGTACGCGACCAGCAAGTTAACTAGTGGAAAATGGGGTAGAGTCAATAGACTTGGTGAGGCAGACGCATCAATAGGTAAATATGATAATAATTAAACTATTTAGCAGAAACTTTTGCTGCAATTTATTCATACGCGATGTCATCGAACTCTTTATAAAGATAATTCGTGTGGCGCTTTGACTGCCCACCGGCTCGAAATTAAACAAGAACAAGAGAAGCGCGTCCTGATCAAATTTCGGGCCTTTTGCACCATCGGTATCGTAAATGGAAATCAGAGACCCACCGGGCGGGCGGATTTCAGCTTTTCTTTCTTGTCGTTGGCATGATGGGCCACAAAAAAAAAACACGAAATAAAATTCATGGCGGTATACGGCGGCATCCCAACACTGATTCGGCGAACGAAAAATAAAGATGAGCGGCCGGACAACAAAATAACACGTGAAGGATCACGTCGTGTAGCGCCCCAGGGTCGTCTGTGATGGGACCATGGAATGAAATATATGTCTGGAACCATCAGACATTGTTGAAAAAAAAAGCACGTTTAAATGATTATGTTATACCTATACTGGCAGGACAAAACACTAGTTGCTAAATCTACTAAAACCTTTCGTCTAAGTTTCAATTGGAGGCCCAGATTGATTTATAAACCTGGCCACACCAAAGCTTACAGACTTTACCTTCCTAGTTTGATAAAAAGGTCGCTTAAATCAGTGCGATATGTAGGTCCGTATGTTTTTGGACATTGAAGCTTGATTTTGATAAGGGTAACAAAGTAACTTTCTCGCGCGATAACTCTGGGTACCAATAAGAACTGACAAATTTAACTACAATACCATTCAGTGAGTTTCATTTTAGTATTTATTCAAAATGCCTGCTACCTCTAATAATAGGCATCATATTACGAAAATAAGTATATAGGTATATAACACTTCGCCGTTATTTATCAGGAATAACTTGGCAGACTAAGACTATTAATGAGTGATTTATTTCATAATATAAAATAGTGTCCGTTCGCCTCATTATTAAAATGCGATATCTGTCCTGTCCCTTGATGCGGAATGTGAACTGCGGCCAATAAATTAAAGCCAAGAATACCTATGATAGGATAACATGGGATCACAGGCGGTCAGTATATGGGGAATTTACCATTCGAAATGCATAATCATTACATGCAGAGTTTATTAACTATGACGTCAGGAAATAATAAGTATGCGAATTTCCTGTCGAATGCCTTTATCCTTATTGGATTTGTAAAATATGATGTGATGAAATATAAAAAGGAATTATATCTATACCTATACAATATAACCTTCTTGAGCTACGATTTTTTACCACTACATATGGCCTAAATAAGCGAATTTTTCAACTTCTAGATACTATTATTGCGGTAACAAACCCGCTGTTTGTTGTTTTTTGTATAGTGACTAAATCATAAACGCTACGAAGAAAAGCAAGGTATGTAGGTTAATATTTGCGTCAACGCAAATGCCATTTATTTACAAACAAAGCAAAGCAACAACATAAAGATTGTAGATTACCAAGATTTTTTTGACTTTTTATGCTTACCGCGACACTTTGGGACCGCTATGAAATGGATTTGGTCAAACAAACAGTTTTATATTCCGATTTTTTGAACTGTTATCCTTAGATAATGATCAAAATGTAAAATACAATGACTCTATTATGATCTAGGTCCACCAGTATAATCCGTTATAATCCGGAATTTAAATGTAACTTAAACAAAAATAAAGATGTTTTTCATTTATTATTTCTAATCAGGACAAAATAGAAATCCAAATAGGACGTATACTCATACTCATGACTCAAGCTGTATAGAAAAAATGATTTCTCTAACTTACACACAAAAAAAAGACCTGATCCGGTAAAACATACCTACATATATACATACAGAGTATGTCCTTAGATAAACTGACACATTTTGCAGGTACCTAAGTATCTCCGAAAACCGGAAAAGATAACGAGATGCGGTTTCTTCTGGGAGAATAAGGATTTTTTAAAGTTTTTTTTGCAAATTATTGCCGAATCCTAAAACTTGCTGAAATTTTGTTTTACAAGCATGGGATTTTTTGAAATAAAATGACTGCCTTATATTTTTAATGAAACACCCTGTATATTTTG